TATTCTGAGCTCGTAGTGGGCTCACACGATGCAATAATTGTGTGAACAATAACACTGTCCAGTATTTATTTAGTGGTGTTTCTTATCACAAATGGCACGTTCTTTTAAACGGTTATCCAGAGAGAACGTGAATGAGAGATTAAAAGCCGCCGGCAGGGAGCGCTGGCGGCCGCGTCACGCGGGGCTCGGTCGGGGCTCCCAGTGGACAGCGCTGCGCCTCCCCTAAACACCAGTTAACCACAGCCGACTCGACCCGAAGGTAGCTAACGTACATTCCACTGATCATATTAGCCTCTGTTAGCGAACCGGCTCGTAACTTTGCCAACATTGGAAATAAACCCCGCTGCGGAAACTCTTTGCAGGCTGTTTTCTTTTAATTCAGTTCACCTTAGCTAATGTTAGCTAACAGCTAAATCTACTAACGTTAGCTACTACGGTTAGCTACTGCATGTTAGCATTAGCCCGGCTAGCAGCAGCGTTGCTCTCCTGGATAGATGGTCATGGAAGAGCTGGACACAAAAGCACTATTGTAGTCACACGGTTGTTGTTCGTGTCGTGAGAACGAGGCACCGGGCGGCCGGTCGGTGTTCCTCTCCCAGTGCTAACGTCAGCTAGCAAGGGTACGAGGCGCTGACTGGACTGTGGCAACAGTGCGAAAGCTCAATGTCGCCTGGTCTAAATGGGCTTATTCAAACAAACATCTGTGCGTCCACAGTGTGCCCGGAAAAACCCGGACGCGTGCAGTGGTACACATTGATGTGGGTGTATGTTAACTAAGTCATAATGACTACGAAGCTATTGTGGTCACGTTGTCCGCTGCATGGCTAGTCACCTATGATACCAACTAACCGGTATCCTCTTCAGTGAGCTAGCAGGGTGTAAAAATCGTCGTCGCCCCAATCGGTCGACATGCACTTCTTCTCAAAATCTACGTGGCTAACATGCTGTTTCATGTATGCAGGTGCTGCAACGTTGCCTTCACGTTGCAACTGTTTACATTTAGAAAAGTCACAGCATGCTTTAAAAGAATTACTCAACTTAAACCTGCCTGTCGACAAGATCTTGCCTGTTTTGCTCCACTTGTTATGTTGAATGGTCTTCTGGGGGTTTATTTATAAGAGCAGACGAAGGTCAGAGGTCATTGAGTCATTGAGACCGATAAGCCGGGTACACAGGGTTTATAGCAAGAACGGGTTCACATCCCTCCTACAAGACAGGAGTGAATATTTGCTGGTTTGTTTACACTTTATTTTTGAGTTTTAAACTGTCTCCGTAGTAATGTTGAATTTTCTACACATTCGTTCTGCTGGTATCCTTAGTGGTTATCTACTATTTTTGATTTGTACGACTGCCCACGTAGCCAAGACCAATTTTGACACTTTGGCACAAAAGGCTAGAAACACAATCCTACTTCATGACACATCAGTAATTTATTAGGAGCCCGCTAATACCAAAAGGTAACTAGAAACACTTGTTTGTAATTGTATTTATATGGTATCGGCCAAAAGGGTTGTATACAATTCATGTGATACTATTTTTAAAACGGCGGGGTGGGAGGCAGCATGGGGGAGAGGGAGGTGAAATAAAGAGGAGTGGTAGATGTATGTCTAACCACTTCTTAAAATACCCTCCCAGCTTAGATAATACCGCGGTTTGTGAGCCTGTCAGCAGCAGCGGAGCCGAGCAACTCTGAGGCCAAGGGGACAAACAGTTGCCCTTTGTGGTCCCTGTCGATCCCCCCCCCCCCAACTCCTAGTCGGCCCCACCGTTCTTCTAAGCTTTGTCGTTGTGGTCACAGGTAAACAACGGCGTTGGCTTGATGGGATCCAGGCGGTTGACAAAGTGATGGTGTGAGGTGCTTGCGCGTGGAATGTTGCGCTGGTCGGTGCACCTGGAAGGAGGGCCGCGGAGAGTCAACCATGCTGCTGTGGCGGTGGGGCACAAGGTGTACTCCTTTGGAGGCTACTGCTCCGGGGAAGACTACGAGACGCTCCGTCAGATTGATGTGCATGTCTTTAACACAGGTAGGCGGTGCTGCTTGGATTCCGGGATTCCCAAGGGTTCGGGTTATTTTGGGGAAAAGAAATCTTCAAACTAGACGAAGGAATGTTAAGATGATCTTGTTTAAAAAAAAGTTTTGACAGTAAGTGCTACTATTGGGGGGGGCAATTAAATCTAAAATGAATCACTGGAGCCCTAGTTGACATATTTATATAACTGTGCTTATCTGCTGTTTCTTTCTGTTTGCATACTAAATGGGTGAAAAGGCATTTTTCTTTTAAGTCCTGTTTTCTAACTGTAATGAGGCAGGAAAATATTTATCTTTGAAGTCATCATGAAGTGAGCATGAAAGTGTTTTTTTCAACTTTGCCGAACCTTCACTGCTTTAACGGCTGCTCTATACAGCTGGCAGTGGAAGCCAAACTTTCAATTGCGGTGTGTGAAATGTTCCGTTCGCTGTTTTTCTGTTGCCATCTTACAAACACAGGTGTTTTCCTTAAATGTGGCACTCTAACGTTTTATAAAACTGCTCCCCTTATTCGTAACCCATTTTGTATATATATATTTCTTTCGGTGTGGTCGGCCACCTGCTTGGTTGGTTTTACAACTTCCAACAGTAGTTGGAGCCTACTTGCTGAGGCTGTAACATAAAAAAGATATGTGGCACCAGACTTAGATAGAGAGGCCTTCGGCTGATTGAAATGGGAACGGGACCACCATAGTTATTGTACCCGTATTTTATCTCCTTTTCTCGGCTACTTTACAGCGGAGCCGTCTGTCTTCTTCGGGTCCTTCTGGTTTTCTTTTTCTCTTTTTGTCTTGACTTGTCTATGAGAGTTTCAAACTAGATGACACGTTATCCACCAAATATGCAGTTTGGACTTCAAGAAGGCGTTTCACATTATGTTACATCTTGTCGTGCTTAACTGATGGTTTGAGAAACACCGGTGAAATGTATAATAAACACTGAATTATATTTTGGCTTCAAAAGTAAATATCTCTATCCAACAATTGAAAATGACACTACTATTGTACTGCACCATGTCATTTTAGTGACATTTCCATTTGTTATTGCAGCTGATCTTGACTTCATATTATCAGTGCACTTTCTCTGAATTTCTTCTGCCTGGAGAGAACCCGCGCAGACACAGGGAGAACATGCAGAGAACATGCCGTGTTTTTAACTGTGCATTGAATGAATACGCCCTTCTGGATTGCTTCTTACTCCAGTGTCTCTGCGCTGGATGAAGTTGCCTCCAGTGAGGATGGGAGGAGGACACGAACGCGTCCGCGAAGTGCCGTATATGCGTTACGGCCACACCGCTGTGCTGCTGGACGACGTTATCTACCTCTGGGGTGGCCGCAACGACACGGAGGGGGCCTGCAATGTGCTTTATGCCTTTGATGTCAGTAAGTAGACTTGCACCAAACTCACGCTGTCAAATGTTTAATCGAGGCCGCGTCGCCTTCGACGGTCCCCCGTTTGATGCTACAGGGAAGCGTTTTGTCAGTAATATTGGAGGACTGGTCCATCGCAATAGACTTTAGAGTTGATACAAACTGTTCCCGCTTCATAGACACCCACAGATGGTTCACCCCCAAGATTTCGGGGACCCTTCCGGGGGCAAGGGACGGCCACTCCTCCTGCGTCCTGGGGAAGGCAATGTATATATTTGGAGGTTACGAACAGCTGGTGAGTCTTCGTCACACTTCACTGTTGGATTGTCAACATGAAAAAGAACGATTCAATTAATGTCCTCTGCTGTTTCTTAGGCTGACTGCTTCTCCAATGACATCCACAAGCTGGACACCATCACCATGGTTTGGTCATTAATTAATGCCAGGGTGAGTTGTTAATTATTCAAAATGATTCATGCTCAAAGAAAGATGAGCTCAAAGGAACACAATAGAATGGACGGGCAACATGCGCGGTTCCATTGAAAGCCCGGTTGGAGATCGATACACCATTGTTTGTTACAGGGGTTGGCAACACTGCTACTAAAGCACTCAGTGCTGTGACCGGCTGGGTGCAAAGGGACTGAAATGTATTGCAGCTCTTTGGTAACTGAATAAAGAAATGTCTGAGGATTTCCTCTTTTGGGAAATGCCATTTGTGTTTGTATGCTGTCAGGCTGGTCACATGATAAAGTCCTAAGTATATAAGTATATTTTAAACGTAGACACCAGTGCCTTGGGTGAACTAACTTTAGTTCCTAACCGAGAACATTTCGCCATCGCGAGATTACAGCTCCGTGCTTACGGATTTAGTTGTGCACGTGAGTGAATAAGACATTTCTTTCTCCACGTTGACACATTCGCATTCCTTTTGTCAAATAACCTGCGCTATTACTGATTTGTCTTTATTAAAAAGTTTTTATTCGTGTAATTTTAACACTCTATTACAACTTGTTTTGTTAAAGCGATAATTTTTATAAGTTTTTTTTTTTAATTTCCTTTTCCTCCCACTGCTCTGTTTGTAAAACAAGTTAAAGAGCCTGCTGGCTTGTGTGGCCTTTTTGGAAAACAATGGCAGCACATTCTGGAAGGAAGGCGCGGGAAAGACTGTAGGCCAGCTAAATTATGAGGGGGGGGCCACCACAGTTCACTTTTTGTTTACTTCTATATCCATATTTCTCTTAAAACCAAATACAGTACCACCTGCATCATTATGCTGAGTGTATCAGTGTTCCTACTAACTAAACATGTGTGACGCCACTAGATGGCGCACTTTACTTACAACTTCACTTCAGCAAACCTCAACGTTGCCAGTGTGAAAGTACAGCTTTATTGCCCCGGTTCACGATGATGATCTTTGGACATTGGAAAGTTTGGTCCTGATTCTTCTGCTTCATGACGCCATGGTGTGTGAACGTGTAACACTGGCACGTCGTCTCCTCACAGAGCACTCCGGCACGCTGGAGGGACTTCCACTCGGCCACCATCATCGGGACGAAGATGTTTGTGTTCGGAGGGCGAGCGGACCGCTTCGGTCCCTTCCACTCCAACAACGAGATCTACTGCAACAAGATCAAAGTGTTCGATACGCAGACCAACTGCTGGCTGAGCACGCTGACCACACAGCCGCTGCCAGAGGGACGGAGGAGTCATTCAGCCTGTGAGACACACACACACACAATCAATACGCCAAACAAATGTATGACTTGTCAAGCAATTTTAAATGCTTGTATTGTATTTCGGTCGACCAGAATCCTTAATTACTTTCATTCTGTCCTCTCGATAATGATTCAACCCAGAATGAGTTTAGAGGTGAGCTACCATATCTTAGCTTAGCAAGAATGCTCAGAATTTGCAACTTGATCAGTCTATTTATTCGGAAATAATGTGTTTTCAGGAGGAAGAATGTATGGAATTAAATTAATTGTTGTAATTATATTTGTATGTAAATTGCAAACCATTTCCCATGTGACCGGTCTCTCATTCATTCTCAAGCACGATTCAATTTATTTCATTGTTTTTTGTAGTGCAAAATACAAAGTATATGTATGTAAATATACATTTATTTAGTACCAATGGAATGAATGATGAAACAAATCTATCTGGTCAAACCGACTCTCATGGTTCAGTTTGTACCGAAACTATGGACCGAACCAACTGGTCATTGCTTTGCTTTCCCTTCTGTGTTTAGTTTCCTATAAAGGGGAGCTGTACATATTTGGCGGATACAATGCACGTCTGGACCGGCACTTCAATGACCTCTGGAAATTCAATCCAGGTGATTCACCATTCTTTACTTATATGGGAAATTCATTGAGCACTGCGTTGGATTTTGTCGCTGACGGCCGCGCGTCTTTGCTTTGCGCATGATAAATGGGCTTTGCTCTGTCTGCAGTGATGACTGTTTGCGCTGACCCACTATAAAGGTGCATTAATATGGCCACAATGACGGGCATGTATGGGATGTGTATTATCACATTTGTTCATACTAGTGATGTTTGACCTCTATAGTTTTAGCACGTCACATGTTTTTCATAGACGGAGAGAATATTGCGTACTTGCACTGTTAACTGGGTGATTTGATGTGAACCTGTGCTTTGCAGTCCACTAGATGGCAGCACCTAATAGTCCTAATGATCGTCCGGAGACAAAGTCTGAATGGCCTGTTGCTATAGAGATTCAATGATGCTGTTGGCTCTGACTCACATTTCATCCTTAAATGGAAAAGATGAGAGTGCTGCAACGACGTCACTCGGGTTGCACTTGTGCCGAGCAGAGGGGAGGATTAGTTTCTATTTCTGAAATGTAAAGTTTCATGTTCAGATGAATGTGAAGGTTTTCTTGCTATAATTGCTCCTCCTCATCCCCTTCACCGCTGAGCCCTGTGTTTGTGGTTCAATACAGCAGGAATCTGAACAACTGCGGGCACCAAAGGAAGCACCAGTAGGTTCATGTGAAGTGTAGCTGCTGCGAGGTCACCTACACTACTCAAACCCTGTTGAGCTAAACAGCCCCCTTTTCTGCTATTTGGAGGGGAGATTTAATTGGAAGTTAAAAAGAGTCTTCACTCTTGATTCAGTCTTCTTTTCCATCATTATGTCTAAATATTGTTTCCTTGTCTTTATTCTCGCACTACAGAAACCCTTTCCTGGACGAAGGTGGAACCGAAGGGGAAAGGCCCGTGTCCTCGGAGACGCCAGTGCTGTTGTATGGTTGGGGATCGAATCATTCTCTTTGGAGGAACCAGGTGAGGCCCAGATGTTACTGCTTGAACTTTCAATTTCCTGGGCACTGTGAAAGTCTCTTACACACTCACTGACTAGGATTCTGTCTATCTAGTATCTTATTGTTTTTTATGTATTCTGAAAGGATGTCCCCAAATATTTCCCGTTTGTCTTTTTTATCTAACTTTCTTTTCGTTTGCAGGCCAGCGTTCACTTACACACTCACGAGTACTGCCATATACTTTCATATGCATAAACAAATGTAAAATACTGAATTTGGATTAGCAACAATTAGCTCCCTCTGCTGAATTGTTAACTGTTCAAATAATGTTAATATTTTTTTCCCAAAGATTAGTGCAGCTGATCTTACAAAGACAGAAACATGTCTCATTCGTTACATTTAAGAGTTATGGAAGGACATGAAGACCAAGCTGCAAAAACATGGAACTGGTTTAAGTGAGGTTCCCTTCACATTCATTGTTGTCTTTATCATTACTGTTGATAACAGGGTCATTATTGCAAACGTTAGCTTGCTGTTGTTGCTCTCGCCGATATTTATCCCCATTATAACATTTTTGTGTGCTTTAGCACATACATGAGAACAAACATGCTTATTCATGATGATTAGGATTTATCTGAAACTTTGGCTCTATACCTTGGAATTAGTGTTGCAAAGCTGCAATAAATTAGTGTAAATAAATACTAATGAGGGTAATTAGTTACTAAGCTGGAACCGCATTTCCATTAGCAGCAACCCCAACTTGTTTGACTTCTTGTCTCCTTTGAGGCTCTGCGTGGGTTTAACCTCTTACTGCTTCATAGTGCCAGATTCTGAGATATATTATTGGCACCACAGCCAGCATTTTACCTCAATAGTTTACAATAAATGCCTAATCGTTTCAGAGGTTGGCTCGAGATGGGGAATGGACCATCTCCTTTTACAGGCACACTTTACAGGCACTTAAATTGTTACGCTCTTGACTCTTTTTGTTGTTTGTCATCCTAATCTCTGTGAAGCACCGGCTCTTAATAACAAGCCCTCCGTCTTTGTGGAGAAACAAGGCTCCCGTTCTCCTTTGGGGGGGTCTGGCTCCTGTGGACAGCGGCCCGGGCCGATTTCCTCTGCGTCTGCAAGACAGTAGTGGCGGGGGTCCGTAGCTGGTGACGGGCTTGTGATAGGCCAGTAGCCGGGGTAACGAGGTAGCTAACGGCATTACCGTGGTCCAGAGTCGTCCGGGTCCCGAGCTACCGTTATCAGCGAGGCGGTGTTATCAGGTGAACCCCGCTGGGACGGCCTGATAGCGGGGAACGGGAGGCTGTGGATAAGAGACTACGTCTGCAGGCGCTCATGTCCTAGAGGCCTCCGGCTGCTGCCGGCTTTGCTCTCCACTGCTCGGCCGGCCGCCCCGTCATCGGGAGCACGCCGTAATACACAAGCGCTATCTCCATCAGGCGGCAGCATTAGGGTAAACCTGCCCATCTCTTTTTAAAGGCTACCAAAGGCTTAGAATTTGTAAATAAAATGACATAAAATAGCCTCATAAACGGAAGCAATCCAAAGTGAGCAAAAGTAAGTAATATAAAACTTGAAAATGTTTGTACATCATCAAGAGCTTTAGAAGATGCTTATTATTCAAAGATTTTTACAGATTGTTTGGTTTCGCGCCAAGATTGGCCGAGGACGAGCTTATGAGGAGTCATGATTTCCTGTTGTGAGGGAGTGTCTTTGTCTTTGGGGCCCCTGAGATGATGGAGGGCCGAGCAGGGCAAGGAATCAAACACAGTATCTCCAACATCCTGTTTAAAAGAATCAGGGCAGATGTTTTCTTTTCTTTTTTTGGTTTTCATTTCAGGGGCCAATGCAACTTTGAAGCTGTTAACATATATTAATGAATGCACACCAATCATCGTTATTGGTGTAAAACTTTGGTTTGTTTGTGTTATTTGTGAAGCAGGTCGCTCTGTAGTTGTTTCCTGTTACTGTAGAAATGAGAGCAAAGTCCTCGCGGCCTCTCGGCAAGTCGGCCACACAAGTTCTGTAGACCAGCATTGCACGCTTGTTGTTTACATGAGCACACCTAAGCCTCTTACACACAGGAACTGCCATAAGCACGTGCACACACAACTCAAGACACACAAACAGCATCTCACACACACTCCTTTTGTTTGCTTTTGTCTCTTTACTTGGAACGTTTTTCCTACTAAGATTCACTTGGCATCTCAAGGTCTTGATTTGGACATATTTTTAGATTATTTTCTTTCTCATTTAATTGAGTATGAACATTGTGTCTAAAACCAGCCTTTGCTGTGTTACCTTGGTTTATTTCTGCATGACCTAACAACAACGAGGGCAGTTAAAATGTTATCAGTGTTTGTCTCAATGCAGCTGACAAATGTCTCGCACATGCCGCCATGAATTATTTTCCGGACACGTTGCTTGTGTTCTTTTCTGGGCTTTCTCATTTCTGTTGGTCTGCCAAGGAAATTGTGTTCGAATTTATGGTCCACATCTTGTTTTCCTGGGCTAGTTGTCCTTTCATATTGATCCAAAACAGGACCCCTCTGTTGATTCTTTTTCCCCACTTTATGATATTTATTTTACCTGCAGGAATTTGTTCAGGGATAATTTATTGGTTTAGTGAAGGACACTAAAGCTATTAAGTCCGAGAGCCCTCTGCTTTCAAAGGGGTTACACTTTGGACTGGACATAACACTGAGGTGTGTTAACAAAACATCAACGGTGTGATACAGACTCTAATGAATTACAGAAAATACACCGGTGCAAGCAAAACAAGCAAACCTTCCAGCATTTTGTATAACAATATACTTGGATTTAGACTGAATGAGCCTTGATGACCTTTTTTAAGTTGCGCAATTGTTTTGTAAGCACGGTCTTCGATACACACACAAATTTGTGTGTGTGTGAATGACCCACCGGGCATTAATGGCAGTGTATTGAGTGCCACTTAAGTCAGTGTAAACAGGCCTGCTGAGTTGCAGAAAGGCGCGAAATTCTGCCCTGTCCCTGATTTATGACCTAAGGGAGCATTCTTTCTCACAGAGTGCAATTGGATACACCCTCGGCGCCTCTGCTACACTCATTTACTGAGACCTGCTCGCTGCCCCACGAAGGACGCCGCCTGCATGACTAACTCCACCTGCACTGACCTTCACCTACGCGCTCTGTGCACGTCTTCTCTTTCCCAAACGTCCCAACGAGTTGCCAAAGAGAGGTTGGTTTTTTTTTGCCGCTGATGGTGTGTTGTCATTGTTGGCATTCAGAACCCTCTGTGTATAATTGCTTACGACAAGCCCAGGCCGGGCTAAATGTGGATGCATTTTAAGCTCGGGAACAGGGCATCCTATACGAGGGGCAGGATATGAACAAGGACATGACAGATTGGCATGCTGGGAGCAGACAGCGTGGAATCTGCTCCGGGGAATCTGGCACTGCCTCTTGAACCACTTGGATCAAACCACGTGCATTCATTCCATGATGGTTTTATGATATATTTTTACCGTGACAGGTATTCCAAACTCTCTGATGGCTGTAATGATGACTGATTTAGATCAATTTATATGAGCCCTTGTTGTTCTGTGGTAGAAGGCTTGTCCTTTTTTTGTGATTTGGTAAAAGTTCAAATAGAAACATCCCTGTCGTTTGCAGAAAAGAGATTTTGGGCCCTTTTAGCCCTTCAGCACCTCTGTGTGGACTGCTGATAATGATGGTTCTTCAAAGGGGTTTTCATTGCCTTTCACTGAGTATCACAGACCAGTGGCTGTCAGTTTAGGTCTAACTATCCCAAAGTGGCCTTGTTCTATGATTAAGTGTCTTTGATGTCATCGCTGTGCGGAGGCCGACCCAGACAAGGTCTGTGATGAGGTCGGGCTGGATGGCGATATCTGCGATTGGCGAAGTAAGTCTCCGGTCGTTATATTCTCTCTCTCTACATACATTTAGCGATTTTTGGCATCTAACAATTGTTTTTTTGGAATAAACCATAGTTGATTATTGATGGTAAAGACTGTTATTTCTGTACGGTTTGAATGAAATGTAACGGTGTTACATTGTTCCACAGCTGATCTTTCAGCTGGTGGGGGGGGGGTAGAGGTGATGTTGCACACACACACACACACACACACACACACACACACACACACCTCCGCAAATATATCAACGGTTGTCGGTCTGTCACTGGCTGAAAGATTTCCACATACACCAGTCTTTGACTCTCTTATGTAATACACTGATTTAAGAAATCAAGTAATTGTCTGTTTTTAAATATGCTCAGGTCAATGAGTTTTTGGGAGTAATAGTAAAGTATTCTGCAGGAAAGCAGTGGTAAAAACAAACATGTCAACACCAAGAGGGTAAGAAAGTATTAGCTTGGGTAATTTTAACATTTGTACCGCTTGCTGGCAATGATCTAATGTACCACATGTCAGCCAACCAGAGGCCTACAAACTATTTTGGGATTTTTTGGCCCTAGTTTCTGTTGCTTTTCAGCAATAACACTTTTTTCTCAAGGAAAAAATATGGGATAGGATTTTAACAGCCCTAAATTGTCACAAAACCTTGTTATTCTCTATTCTGTAATTGTAGGTCATCGCTGAAATTTCCTACTCCCGGTGTGGTTTGCTATTTGTGTGTGTCTCGGGTCTGTGTGCGTTCACGTCACTCACGGCTTGGATGAGCCGACGTCAGAGCTTTGCTCTGCCAGCCTGAGCGCTTGTGTTCCATTTAGGGCTGTCAAAATTGCTCAAAAATGACGTTTGAATATTCGCTTTAAAAAAACACATATTTGAATATCTGGTTGCGCATTAGGAACGTCAATGACAGGACAAATTAATAAAACGAGACATAACTACTTGTACAGGTAATTTATTTAAGTTACATATTTAACAACATATTAGATACAAATAAGTAAATTAAGTAACAGTGATGATAAAGTAATACGTAAATTAACTAATGGCCAAGACCGCAGACCTCTCGCTCGCACACACACACTCTTTCTTTCTCTCT